TAAAAAATGTTCTTACAGGCTAGTGTTTCCGAACCTGTGTGTATTTTGAAGTTCCCACGTTTCAGCAGCTCTTTCACCATTTAATATATCCCTGTTCCCATCAACTCTTGCTGCTGGCTCAAAACTGTAAGGCTGTGCAACTGAAGTATTTAATATAAATGTACATTTGTGTTCAGAATCTGGAGCTTTTTTCTGAGCAGAGTCAGGGATGATTCCTTGAGCGACGTCACGTCCGGTTTCCAACAAGAGGCGCTGGTTTCAGACGGATGAGTTACAGCCTAGCTGGAACAGTAATAGAACCTTTTTTTTGAATATCTTATAATTTATCATAAAGTTTAAACATGTTACAATAATAGGGCTTCAACATGTGTTTAGTGTGGAAAATGACCTTTAAAACACAAGTTTACGGTTCAGATTAGTAGGAAGATGTTCAGGGTTCTTTGGTATTCATTTAATAACAATCACTATTAATATAACAAAAGCAGACTGGTAAACCAAGTTGAATCCATTGCAAATCAGCCTTTCTTCTCTCCTTGCAGGCTTGTTGTATCTAACACCTTTCCATTCTGTTGGGCTACCCACAGAAGCGTGATCTGGCAGCATTTAGAAACCAACTCTGTCAGGAGCTCAACAGTCCTGAACACATGCATTCCAGAGGGGGCCCAGTGGGGCTGGAAACAGGAAGTGGTCAAATTTACTCCAGCTAGTGTCAGAGCGGTGATTTATTCACACCAGGGTCAGTGTCAATAAATGTGGCAAGAAGAAAAACTAAAATATGAATAAGGGTCAGGCAATAAGGAAGAGAATTCAACGTTTACTCTTGCTACACAGTTGGCTTCCAGAGGCAATTAAAGCAAATATTTTGCCGCCTATTGCCCTTATGGAAAAACTAAGACTGTTTACTTGATGTTTGGCATTCCAATCAAAGCTTATTTACTCCACACCCGGCGTATCCATGTCTGTCCAGCATTCCTTGCATCCTCTGTGTCTAAACGCTTCCTTGTGAATTGGTGCTAAGAGCAGCACCATCTGTTTTTTCATCTTTATTTGTCCAAGAAAAGTTGGCTGGAGTTTAAATGGTTTCACAGCATCACTGAGTGAAGTTGAGAGCTATGTAATAAAGCAGGAAAAGGCTTTCTCACATTCTAAATTCAAACATAAAGGCAATGTTTTTGATGGACAAGTAGATCAAATTTTGGTGATAAGAACTGAAGATCTGTCTGGCTAATTTGACCATTTCCAGATTTCCAGACCTGGATAAAGTAATGAAATTAGGGGTTTTCTTCACAGACACAACCTCTCTAGAGGCTACATCAGACCCACAGAACAACTGTTGCATTGGTGCTCTGCAGCTGTGATGGCCAATTATACTCTGTTGTGTGTAGGGTTTCTTGCAGGGAGGGATCACAGTGGCGTCAAGTCTGCAGAGTAATCTGTCTCTCCAGACCCACAGACTCGAGGGAATAGCTTTCAAGGGCAGTTGTCCAACACAGCATGCATGCAATGCTGCAACAGGCAAATGTGTTTGCTTACTCATGTGCATGACTGATTTCTTTGCATAAATTAGCTACTCTACACTCTTCAGTTAGAATTTGAAGCATGAAAAACTTGACATATTTTCTGAAATGTATTTGTTTATTGCAAGTTTATTACTTCAAGGTATTTTAAAATGAAAACATTGTCTTTAATGTTAAGATTTCTTCTTTTCTGACCTTTACAATTTGCTATGAAATTTTAATGGCACTAACTTAATATTTTAGCATTAAGTTCAATAGAAAAAGATTGTGCCAGCATTACTCTGTTCCTGAGTGCAAATCCCGGGCAAGCCCCTACTTTGTCATGACCCGGCTCAAGGCCATGGCAAACACTAGATGCCGTCACTGAAAGCCATTACAAGAATCTATTAAATAATATGAGCAAAAGAAAGTAAACGTGGAGCTATCACAGCAGTCGGGCGACTGGGAGTTGAGCTGTGGCATGGGTGACTAGCCTGGCTTAATAGACTCGTCTTCTATTTAATTCTGTACAGAGAAAGAGTCTGGTGACTCACAGGCAGAGAGGCACTTGAGGGGCGGGACTAGGCAGCTCAAAAATGACCAGTCACAAAAAGACGGAAATGTCGACTGTACCGCTGTAATTTTTTAGCTGTAAAAAAAAGATGTCTGGCAATGGCACAAACATCTTTTATTCTTTTAGAAGAAAGGCTTTCAGTGCTTCTACTTGTTGTGGTTTTAAAGACATTCAAGTCATTTAGAACAGAGGAAAGAGCCGCAGCAAATTCTGCTTCAGTCACCATGTTAATGACAAACTTGGTGTTGTGGTGTGTGACGTATACGCTAGTCAGCGCTGATTGGCTCGGTTAGAATTCTCACGGGGTGGGGTTATTTGAATAGGAGAGTTTCCAGACCCTTTCTCTATGCAGAATTAAACAGAGGATGAGTTTAGCGGGCCAGGCTAATGCGTGACTTCCCAGATGTGGAAATGCGAGCGCTAGGTATCTGGGAAAACCCGAGCGCTAGCAGAAGTGGAATAGGAGTGTGGAGCTATTCCAAAAGTAAGAAAAGGCACTTACTGGGTGTAGAAGATTTGTTGGGAGAATTGGCTGGTTGATTACTCTGATCATAGGTTCGAAGAAACGATGACTGAGTGGCGTGAAATGGGAGGTGATTTCCATATATAGTCATGATTGTTGACGTAGGTGGGGAGTGATGAGAATCCCGGTGAGGGGCTGCTGGGAGTTGTGGTCCTAGGCAGAAGCCGGTTGGCTGGAGAAGGATGGTCTGGAGGAAGAGACTCTGACAGAGAGCCAAAGCTCCCACACCAAATAACAAATATGTGCACGAGAAAGAGAACAGGGTCCGGGTATCTCCAACCATCACCAGTGGGCAGTCTGCTCCTAGTCCTGCAGCACGAAGCTGGAACTCAAAAGCCTGACGAACAGGCCGTCACAACAGGATATTTGAACCGTCTACAGGTGGTTCAGAACGCCTGTGCTCGGCTTCTGACCAAGTCCTCCAAACACACCCACATCACCCCGCTTCTCCTCCAGCTTCACTGGCTGCCAGTCACCTTCAGGGTTCATTTCAAGATCCTGGTTCTGGTCTATAGGGCCTTACATGGACAAGCACCATCTTACATTGGTGATCTTCTTAGTCCCTACACCCCCAGCAGGTCCCTGAGGTCCAGTGACCAAAGCCTACTGGTTGTGCAGCACCAGGCTAAAGGTCAAAGGTGACAGATCATCTGCTGCTGTGGCCCCCAGACTCTGGACCTCTCTCCCCCTGAGCCTGAGACCAGTGGACTCAGTGGTCTCCTTTAAAAAGCAGCTGAAGACTCACTTGTTCAAGCTGGCTTTTGTATGACCTTCTTCACCTCTCTCTCTTTATTCTGCTCTCCCCACCTATTCCACCTTCCTCAGGATCCACTGATTTCCCTCTTTCCTGTTCACTCTCTCTCTTTCTTAACATTTTTTCATCACAATTGTCTATTTTTACTCATTTAAAATATATTTTTAAACATTTTCTAAATTCTTTTTTATATTTTTACATTTTTTGTTTTTGTGAAGCGCCTCGTGATTTTTATCTTGAGAGGCGCTATAGAAATGATATTTTCTTCTTCTTCTTCTTCCTATTCCTCTTCTTTATACCCTTAAATCAAAGGTCTATATTTTAAAATAGTGTCTACTTTGAAGTATTTTTATACTTTTTCATGAATTATAATTGTCTACTTTGCATGTGTTGACCTTCAATTTCAAGGCAGTTCAAGTTTTAGCGACTAGTTTCCCCCTAGAATGTCAGAAACACAAATAATACTGATTGGATTTATGGAACTATAAACTTATGTTTACTTGTCTAACAGCTGTTGGAACATTTCTAAGATGATGTCCAGCCGAAGATACTTGTTGGCTGTGCTTTTTTCTGTTTCATAGAGAAACTCAGACCAAGATCAATATTCCATAGATATCTGCTTTTATCTGTTCTTCAGCTGTCAAACAAGCTTGATAAATTAAAGCTTGGCAGTTTTTCTGAACACTTCTATTGTAAATAAATAATCGATTCAAAAAGGAATTGTGCTTTTTCTTTTGACACGGTCTCATAAATGGGAACAATGCAGCAGCAGATTTCACACATTAGTTTGTCTTTTTGTATGGTTGCTTTTTTCTACTTTATTTTTGGCCACAAGAGGCTAGAAATTAGTTTTGGACAGATCTTGAAACGCTTCCGCTGAGGGTTTATCTGAAGTTTAAACAAACCAATGGAGCCTTGTGTCATCGGGCATGTAAACAGGAGCATCAGATGTGGTTGTTCATGTCGGGTTGCGACACTGGCCTAAACGGCACCGTTCACACCAGATGGAAAGATAAACCCCAAGTATGTCTCAAAAGCCGGTGCTGTCCTCAGAATGAAGAGTCAGCAGAATGCTGATGGGGGCAGGGAGGACAAGAGGGAGACACTGAGAGTGAAACTTATACATGAAGAATGGATTGACTAGCAGAAGGTTCATGTTGGTGCAAAACAGAAGGCAGTAAAACACAATATAACGACATTAATGTTGCACAACAGCAAAATCCAACTCTTTGTTTGGACCGTATATCAAACTGTCCAGTTTATGGTTGTTGGAACGAAAGATTGGCAACTGTCTCAGTTCAATGAATTTTGAATAAAACCTTTTAAAATATACTCATTGTGTGCAGATGTTAGACGTTAAAGATTGAAGCTCACCAAAAGAAATGCAGCTAACCATACTAATGAATGCAAATACCACTGATACGTAGGAATTCTTCAATTCTTACCACACGCACGCACGCACACACACACACACACACACACGCACACACAAGTTTTTAATGGGAAATCAACTTTTTTCCAAAGAATCCAATAAAGCCCAAGCTTTTATCAAATCAATTGGATCACTGAGTGAGAACAGACTGTTGTTTTTAAAGCACAGAACAAAACCCTCTAAATGACCTTTTGGCTTCTGCGTTTGTTTTTTGTTCTCAGTTGCACACCATGACCCAGAAAACACCTTCAACTGCAGCTTCATCGAGCCGCCGTCCGTGGCCGAGCAGCCGTCCCCCTCCTCCTGGTCGTCCCAGGAGTCCTTCTCTTCCTTTGAAAGTGGAGACGAGGGGCCAGTTTACTGCGTCCCTCATGAAGGTTAGTCACCACATAAATAAATATGTAAACAGCTGGTTATCTTTAATGACCCACCTACATTCTTTGGCATTAGGGCTTTTAGTGCACACACACACACACACAGAGACAGTGATCTGTACAAGTTTCTAAATAAGTCAAGGTCCCTTGTGCAACCGTGCAGTGACTCATGTACTTCTGTAAATCTCCTTTTTTGAGCTAGTTGGCTTCTAATCATGTGCCATCTTGGCCCCGCTTTTCCTCTGAGAGTGAGCCAAGTATAAACAGGAAGTGGATTTGTGTAGTCAGCATATGGCGCAGATTCATACAATGACTAACCTCTTGGAGTTTGCTGGAAAACACCGCTCCACCAGCTTCTATTTTGAAAGCATGACATCTTGAATTGTTTTTTATTAGAGGAGATATTTTTGTATTTGTTTGATATGGCGCCAACGGAGAAGTTTGGGTCACTTCTCAGGACTGAAACATTGTAATCTCAGTAAAAACAATCCCTCGACAATGAATGCCAGTCAAAATCAGTATTATGAGCGTTTTTTTAATTATTCTTGTATGATTCAACAGACCATCTAGTTTTGCACAGTCAGTCTGTAAGTGGACTAAACTAACAACTGCTCTTCTGCGTATGACCAACAGAATCTGCAAGTGAGAGCAAAGAGAAGCCAATCCCTGCAGCAGAAAATCTAGAGGATGGCCTCGATGAGGAGGATGCAGGGGAGTACACCACCCTGACAAACACCAGTGTTAAACCAGAGAGCAGTGAGCAGTCCTTAATCAAGTCCTCTGACAGCGAGGGTTCCAACAGTGGCTCTGAGTCTGCACCTCACTACGCCTGCATCAACCGCTCTCCCAAGCATGCAAAGGAGGATGACTGTACTCCTACACCAGAGGCGAAGCACAACGGAAAACCACCACCTTCACCTGGTAAGCCAAAACCACGCCCACCAGATCCGTCTACCAAGCCTAAAGTCTCATGGATACATGGGAATACAACAGGTCCCCCACAACCAGAGCAACAAGGAGGAATCAAGGTTCTTGCAGTTTCAAAGGAGAACAAGGGAAAAAGCCAAGACCAACTAAAGAAACACGAAGGCAAAGCGGCAGATTCAAATGGCTCCCCCGGCAAACACAAACCTCTGCGAGGCAAGAAGTCTGGGGATCAGCAAAGTAGTCCATGTCACAAGGTACACATCAATGGTGTCGTTCAAAATGCCCTAAAGAAGATAAGTAACTTCCGTGGCTCCTCACCTGAGAAGAATAATGTTGAAAATCCAAAGCAGAGCACTAAGGAGCCACCCAAGAGCCCTAAAGTGATCCATCCTCACATGAACTCAGAGGCTGCCACTCTGCTTGCTGCTCAGCTCAAGGAGAAAACTCAAAGCATCAACAGGAATGAGGGGACAGGACTAACAAAGATTAATGGTCTCTCTCTTCCAAAGGGTGACCATGAGAAGCCAACACCTCCACAGAAAGCCAAGAGAACCAACTCAGGTGGACTTAGCCAGCAGGGCTCCACCAAGCCTCTGCTGCCCACCTCAAGCAGCCTCCAGAAGATGGTGGCGCCTGTCACCAACAGCTTCGGGACCCCCGAAGCCAAGGGCCCGGAAAAGCAGGACTTGAACGGCTCCAGAACAGGGGACCTGTTGGATTCTACACCAAAGAAGACGCCCATGAAAAAGCCACCTAGGAAGAAAGGCAAGGGGGGTACCTTGGATCCCCCTGAAAGTAAAACACCCCAGCAAAAGACAGCCATTATGCCACCACAGGTGGTGAAGTGAAGTGACGTGCTTGTAAGGAAAATGCACACGCTTGTGATGATTTTTTCCAGAGACTGACATTTAATTTGACGGTAGCGACCACATAGTCTTTCTATGAGCGTGTGTGCTGTGACTGAAGGATGGACGTTTCAAGATCAGTACATTCTTTTAAACTAAAGGGTGCAATTGAGTCATGGTGGGGAGGTGTATTATAAAAACATTCATATACCATTATATTACACTTCAAAAATCCTGTTTTGTATAATCAGTATGTATCAACCTCATGCTACACCTATTTGTAAGCCAAACACAAGTGACGCAAAGACATTGTCATCCATCTCTATGCAATTCATTCATTCATTAGCTGTTGGATACTTTTACAATGCAAGTACAACACAAATAGATGTTTAACTCCAAAATTACAAACAGCTATTTCTCCACAGGTACAAACCATAAGCAGAGTGCCAGACGCTCTTATGATTGCAAGCTATTATTTTATTCTTACTTTTAGTTTTTTTCATTTTCTATCGCGTTCTACGCCAAAGCCGCCTTCGGGGACAATCCTCATTCTCTCGTTATGGATGGATGTTTGTTTGATTGTTAAAAATAAAACTCAAGAGTTTCTGTCAGATCTATAAGCTGTCGTTGTTTTCAACATTTTTCACCCTCTAAATAATTTAGATTTTCTTTTTTTGTAATTGAAAATTAACTCATTCACTGCCGGCCGTTTCCTGATCAGAAAGCCCTTCACTGCCAGCGTTTCTCACCGTTTTTACTGTTTTTTAAGAGTGACAGAACGTTGCGCGCTAGGATGATGTCGACGCCAAAACAATGCGGAGACTCACCTCTTACATCAGGAAGAATCTGCGCGTTTCGAGCATTATCCGTTCTTTCATAATCCGTTGTCGAATTGTGATCGGCAGAAGCTTTTCCAGTTCGCTCCTCACTTTTTTGTACAGCAGCGGCCCAAAACGATCTCCTAACACACTGATGTTCTGCTTCCTGATCACGTGACGTGTGATGTACGTGGATGAAGATCGGCTTTTGAGCTGAGATGTTTGTTCTCAGCGCAGGGGCTCGTTCCGACACCCACACAGTAAAGAAAGGCAAATGACGACTTTAGTCGTCAATGGCAGTGAACGAGTTAAAATGTAAATTTCAACAGTTTAAAGGGTGAGAGTGTCAGGATTTATTTTGAATCTTTAATTCCTGAATAAATGTTTCTGCTGATTTTTAGTCTTCTGAGTACAGTGGCAGGACTCATTGTCCTAATCCACCCTATGCATCCAGACGTAAATTCTGCAAGACAGATGTGTTTGATAGCTGTTACTCTTGATTTCTTCCCAGATCGAGTCATGTAGGGACCGCGTGTAAAAACAAAGGAATCAGGTTCAGTGTGGAGTTGTAGGCTTTTGCGAGATTTTATAAAGTTGAACACAAAGCTGATTAAGTTTGAGTTCATTCTTTATTACCTGATTAATGTCAAGAGAAAACCTTTTTTCTGACTTCTACACATCTGTTTTTTTTTGTGTTACTGTTTTATTTACAACATGTTAGGAATACAGTGCATCAGAAAAGGGCCGTAGGTGGTATCTTGTGGGACCATAAACAACTGAACAAGGATATTTTAAAGGCTGAAACGTTTCCATCAGCTCGAGTGTGGAGTCGAGTACACATGTTGATGGAGACATTTTCCTTTCGGACTTCTCCGTGAACTGGAGAGCGTTGCAAAGTTGGACAACAGAAGGCGTAGAGCTTTTCTGGGGTATCCTGCCACCATTACATTCAAGTCTCCGGTCCAAGATGGTGCCTTTCCTATTGTGTTTATATTGCTTTAATGTACTTCAGAGACTTTTTAACACGGACAAATTTGTCCCTCATTCTCTTCCACCTCTTCATGCGGTCGCCACCTCTAAACCCACGTTTCCCGTCACTTCCGTCCACAAATAGATGCTTGCTGCATATTTCTGTACTCTTTCAGTCACGGTGATTAGACACTTGATGTTTTTGGACTTTTTCCACGATGCATACTTCGATCTGTTCCATGTCTGCTGCTAAAAATCGTTGTTTTTTTTTAATGGGGAAATGGCGGCGCTGTTGACGAATTTAAAAGAAGCAGCATCCTGACCAATCACAAGCTTGCAATCCCTGACCCTTTCAATGGAAATGGTAAATGATAAATGGCCTGTATTTCTATTGTGCCTTCTTAGGGATCTACGACCCCCCAAGGCGCTTCCCAACACAATTAGTCATTCACCCATTCACACACACATTCACACGCTGTTGGGTATGAGCTACAATGTAGCTACAGCTGCCCTGGGGTGCACTGACAGAGGCTGCCGAGCAGTGGCGCCACCGGCCCCTCCGACCACCACCAGTTAAAAAGTTGGGCATATCTCCGCCACCCTCTGTGAGCCTGTCGGAGAGCCCATGTGCCGGCACATATTGGCGTACCATTTCTCCGCACCAACGCAGATGGAGAAGGATAAATCGGGCTTAAGGCTAACCATATTTCTGCAGGGTCATGTGCCCTCTGGCTCCGCCCCTACATCCACCAAACCACAAGACTAAACCATAAAACACCAAACCAATTAGTGTTTTCACCAGGATTTTGCTTTAATTCACATTGAATTCACTTTCTTTTCTTTTACTGACGATTTTTTTGTTTTTTCCTTCGATCGCTCAACAGAAGCAATGAAAGTTTTCAGACTTCAAAAACAGTTCGTCAGAGTTGAGTGATTTTTGTGAAAGGTGTGTGGAAAAATGTTCTGCCATTTCATGATAATGTCAATCTAGCAAACTCATTCTAAACTAAGAAAAATGCTTCAGTCGGCTTGTTTGGGGCTAAAGTTGAGACTAAATGGTACTTTTGGAAATACATGTGCCTCAACAGTAAATCAGTTGGGCAAAAGCAACTTTCTGATCTTTTCACCAGTGGGTATTTCTAGTAATCATTTGAACCCTTATACGACCTTAGTGTTCAAAGGACAAAAACGTTAGAAAATTAAAGGGTTATATAAGGGTTAAAACAGTGTGGGAAACTAAAGTTGGACTAATTAAGCTTTTAGAGAGGGAAAATGTTTAGTAAATGGGTATTTTATAAGAAGGTTTTACAGAAAGAGTTATAAATGATGAATGATAGAAAGAAGTAAACTTGTGTTTGGAGAGGACAGATTTCACATTTTCTGACACAACTTGGTCTTTTATTGAGGTACAGAAGATTTCTTGGTTTTTTACTCCTTGTATACACTGTGTACTTTTTATTATCTGTATAAGCTGTGCTTATATGACTCTTCAGGTTCTGTTTTCTTTGGTGTCAGTAAATGGCTTTCATGAGGTATTTTGCTTTTTGGGGTTTGTTTTTCTATGCTGTTTATTTTGAGCGCTGAAGCAAATCAGCAGTATGAGTTCTTCTCTTCTGTAAAGTTTACATTGGCTTTGTGATTGTTCTCTGTTGATGTTATTGTTTCTGTAACACTTAACTGCATGACGCAGAGTGTAATTATATGGCATTATGGCTGGAGAAGAAATCTGTAACGTTCCTGTTGCTTTCGTTTGTTATTGCTGCCTCACGTGAAGTCTCATAAATCAATATTGTACAATGCAAACACAATACCACTGTTCAAACAATTACAAATGCTTATGGTCATGATATTTTGTAATTATTATAAAAAGTTAAACTTTGTCTTAATGGTGCTTGCTTGCTTTTAAACGTGATAAGATGCGATTTTTTGTTTAAAAGGGCCTGAAAAACTGGAAATCACCAGCTGTAAGGAATTTTCTGTGATTTTTACATTTTTTGCAAATTTGAAGGCACACTTGCTCGTTTAGCTTGCTTTTAGCACCCCCACTTTAGTAGAACCAAAAGTGTGGCCCCCGCACACTCTCTATTGGACGCTCCTATAGAGAAACCTTACATAAACAAGAGCGTGTACACACACAGGTGCTCACATGGTGCTCTCATAAGTATGGACTTGGGCACATTCAACACACATCTTAAGGTTGTGGTTGGCACTAAATGCACTGTGGTTTATTATCGTGACTGTTCAGTAAAACAGAGATTTTATATTTCCTCATCAGGTTGACGCAGTGATAGCTTGCTCCAGTTGTATTGCTATGTGTCCCTTTTTCTTTTTTTCTCTCCTTCTGCAGGTCTAGAAGCAGACTTTTGTTCATCATTGATGGTTTGTTTTTGTGGAACCCTCTCCCTCCTTTTGTCTCTTCCTTTCTCTTTCACCTCTGTCTCTATGTCCGGTCGAAATTACAAGCATTCAAAAAACAATAGCAATAAAGTTTTAAGTATCAGGCGTGACATTAAAAGCAGAAGCTGTGATGCTCCACCTGAGAGTAAATCTGTAAGGCTTGTCACCAGCATTCAGACATTAATGAAAAAGGTAAATAAAATAATAAAAAAAAAAAGAACCAAAAGCGAAACGTATCTCCTCGCTGTTCATTCGTCTAACTGCTGAAATGTCTCCTCAGCCTTCATAAGTTTCTATAGGGGCAGTTCATAACTAAATCAAATCAGCTGTGTTAACGATCTAAAATATGCAGGAAACATAGCCTGGCCTGTCAGACTCATCCTCTGTTTAATTCTGCACAGAGAACGGGTCTGGGAACTCTCCTATTTAGTTAACCCCACCCCCTGAGAATTCTAACCCAGCCAATCAGCGCTGAGCATTACACACCACAACGCCGAGTTTGTCATAAACATGGCGACTGAAGCGGAGTCCGCTGCGGCTCTTTCCTCTGCTCTAAATGACTTGAATGTCTTTAAAAACACAACAAGTAGAAGCGCTAAAAGCATTCCTTCTAAAAAAATAAAAAAATAAGATGTTTGCACTGTTGCCAGACGCCTTTTTTACCACAGCTAAAAAACTACTGCATCGCGCGGTACAGTCGGCATTCCGTCTTTTTTCTGATTGGTTATTTTTGAGCTGGCTAGTCCCGTCCCTCATGTGCCTCTCTGCCTGTGAGTAACCAGACTGTTTCTCTGTGCAGAATTAAACCGAGTACGAGTCTGGCAGGTCAGGCGACAGGAAACAGACTGCAGCACCAAGTATGTCAGCTCCATTTTTGTCATAGTCTTAACAGACCAGACTCTGAAGTTGCAAATGCGGCATTCTAGCCACAGATGGCGTTGTGGTCTGAGTGGCATTTCATTACCCTTGTAAAGGGTCACTTTAGCACATACTGGCTCAAGAAAATGATTTGAAAATATGAGAAAGTTGCATAGTATGGCTTTAAATGTTAAACTGATGTTTTCTCATTTGGTTCTTGAAAATCAAACTAAAGATTAAATGCAGCATATTTAAAGCACAGGTTACAGATTAGTCCTTATCTTTTTAACGTTATCATAAAAACTCCTCCCCTCTTTTCGCTCATGGGGTCAGGACCTTTGTGACCTCATTTCTCAGGTGTGAAAGGACATTTAATGAGTCATGCCAAACACATCTGCTGAGTAATGCATTAAGTTGCTGACTGATACTTGACCCTTTCTTGTCTCGTTGGACTCAAATGGCCAATTCTCAGGGATGTGTACGAAGCCCTTAGGTGTTATTTCACTGCAGCTCTACAGAAAGCCTGGAGGAACCAGGAGACTGTTGATTGGCTCCTTCAAGCTGCAGGACAAGAGCTCTTTTCATGGACCTAAAACAGTAGAAACTTTGTGCTGAGACCCTAATCACGCGCAGCGTCTGTGTCCTCTTTTGCAAGGGAAGTATGAAGTTTTAGCAGAGCTGGGCCACAAGGTAACAGAATGACCAATCATGGATTGATCAGTCGTGATACACAATTTAAATCACAAAGTGAAGTGGTTTTATTTCTGATTCTACTCCTTCAACATGCACCACTTATGTATGTGATTATCTGGAGTGTAGGAGTGCAAAAAATGATCCCAGTGGCCAACGGGGTCTTTGAAAGATTGCTTAAGGCTTTATTTGGTGGCAAATTCAAACTATTCCTGGACATTATCACCAGTTTTCATGCAATAACATACTAAACCCCAAAAATCAACCAATACTCATTCAATCTCACTCAGTTTCAGTTTATTCTTCCTCCAAGAGATACTGCACTGGCTGTTCAGTCTTTAATATAATAAAACTGTCTTTTTATGGTTCTGTCTTTTCAGATCCAGCAAATATTTCTGTCAGTTTAGTTTGAACTCATCAAACCCAGTTTTCCCCACCACCGCCTCCTCCCTAAGTGTCAGATGTTTCATGTGACATGTTGAAGTCAGATTTCTTCCAGGAATGGAGAGGAATGTTGACACAACTGCCTCCATCTGCTCATCCTCAGCTCGCAGATGAAGATTCTCAGCTGAGCGTACCAGCACATGTTCCCTAGCTTTTCATCCTCAACATGCTGCGGGAAAGCCAGGAGACTGAAAATGTTCCCGGTGTGTCGAGCGTGGAACATTTCAGGACAAACTATTTGTGAATAATTTCTAGGACTTTTGATAGATAATTGCTCCTTTTATTCGCTGGTTGACATAAATGGATGCGAGGCTTGTGAAAATATTTATGGTAATGATCTCTCCGTTCTGCCTCTGCAGTTGGCTAACAAACATGTTGGCTTGTTTGACTTCAAGAAGAAGAAAATATCACAACAACTCAGCTTTTCTGAGACTTTTCCTTTAACGGCAAACATGGGGACGGGGAATCGGGGGCACCAAGACTGCCGGGCCAAACATCAGCTGGTCCTGAGGTCTCCTCCGCGTACCGTTGTCTGCAAAAAAAATAAAAATAAATAAATCTTCACCAAGGATTTCAGACTCAGGACCTATGAGTCAGCCAAAAGCACTAGACTGCAAAAAGACTATTCCAGTCTCTGTGTTTCCATGGCAACAAGAACAGATTGGAACCACATCTGGTAGCCATTTCAGTCCCTGCAAGCAGAGGAAGAAAGAAATTTATGAGTGAGGGAGAAAAAGACAAATATTTTCTGCAATGCAAAGCAGAAAAAGAGCGGAGTCGAGTTATGCTTGATGGTTGAGAGCGAGTTGTGAATGCCCACCGTTCAGCAGAGTAAGATGAGAGAGACGAGACTCATTGTTTTATAAGAAAATGACTTGTCTGTATCTAGTTTTCTGTATGCATGCCACTACTTGTGCCTTAAACAACCTTAATATAGATTTGATGTTTTGCAAGTGAAAGTGTATTTTGGTTGAGGTTTAAAATAAAGATTTGTTATCTTGCTTTTGTTCTGATTGCATGTCCAGAGGCGATATATAATAAAAGATCCTGTTTTCATCTTCTACCCCAGTCGACGCCGTGTCTGCGAGAAACACCGTCTAATTGCAGTCCTTCTTACACGATAAATGTTGTTTCTCAGCCCTTTGCAAATGCAGAAACTATGAAATGACATTTACTGGAAACGGAGCTGCTGATCTAACCGAGCCAAAACCACCAAGAGCTGAGGTCAGCCTCCAGCCAGAATGATGGGGGAGCAGCGCCAGGATCAGTTGTGTGTTCGTGGATTTCCAGTGGCATCTGCACACACTCTGTGATTTGAAAAACTCTCCCCATGAAAGACACAAAGCTACGTCGCGTTGGCACATGGCTAAAATAGGCCGCTCTTATTGTACAAATTAAAGCGGCCACACAGCAGCCTGACCTCCCAAAGGCACTCCAATGAGCTCGTGAAGGAAGCCCTGACACTGGACGAGCTTGTTTTGGATGAAGAAATGTTTCAGCACGGTTTGAAAAGTTATTTATGAGACTGTAACAATTGCTATTTGTGCTTTTTACCCTTTTTTCCTCAAGTCCCTTTGTGATGAACTGCATCATTATTTCACTGCTGTTAGAGAGGAAAAAAAACATTTTTATTTGTTATTTTTTAAATGATCGGTCACTCTGAGTTTAACATGCAGGCTGAACTTGCAAATAGTCTCCTGCATCTACCTCCTGCATTATCGTCTGATAGAGAATAAACGGTGAAACTCTAGGATTAGAAGAGCCTGACAGATCTACATCACACTGTCACTTAACATTCATGGACTCATCTGCACTTGCGACGGGGAAGGCTGTTGTTAGTTTAGCATCCGGGAATCAGCATAAAACCTCTCTGCTAGAAGAAGCTAGCAACTCCACCACACAGCAAAACTCCTCCAGGTTTGTTATTTGTGGAGATAAAACATCCATTTTGCAGATCAGTGGTAGAGTCACGTTTCTGTTATTCAATCAGAGGATAAATATCCAAATATCAGGAAATAAGAGATGTCGTCTGAAACTACTTCCTCCTCTGGCTGCTTTCTCCATGCTGAAACTAATGCACCAGAGCTTTATTTCCCCAGAGAATGACCTATAAATGGTCTGTATTTGATATAGCGCCTTCTAGAGTCCTGGAACCCCCCAAGGCGCTTTACAACACAATCAGTCATTCACCCATTCACACACTGGTGGGGATGAGCTACGATGTAGCCACAGCTGCCCTAGGGTGCACTGACAGAGGCGAGGCTGCCGAGCACTGGCGCCACCGGTCCCTCCGACCACCACCAGCAGGCAACGTGGGTTAAGTGTCTTGCCCAAGGACACAACGACAGCGACAGACTGAGCGGGGCTCGAACCTGCAACCTTCCGATTACGGGGCGAGCACTATAAGGCATTCTTTCCTTCTAAAGACCACTGCAAATGTATTAAAATTTTGAGTGAAGTTCCACTTTAAGGGTTCTGGAAACATGGAAGT